CCAAGCAACAATACGGAGGGAAAGAAAGATAAGAGAAAGCTTACCCAACATCGTCAGAGCACCCACACGCAGCTGAGGAACTGAAATACCGAAGGTATTTCTTTAGATCTACGAATTTGTATGGTTTTTTAGAAGAAACGGAGGTTGGATTTAGAACGAGGGAAGACTGATTATACATTTTAGGGTAGTTTGGTAATTTTCGGCCACCGTGTGTGGTGGCCGATGGCGGCGATTGGCGGTGGCATTCGACGGTCGGCCGGTGGTAGTTATACCTCAGGCGAGGGAATTTAGAGAGAAGCAAAACGAGGAAATAAGAGAATGGCCCTTAGAGGCCGGTTTTGGGCTATATATATTCTCTCCTGAACGACGTCGTTTTGGGGAGGGTATCTTTGTAATTTTTTGCATGGTTAAACTACACGCGTGGTCCCCCTGATTTGTAAGCCTTTCAGTTTGGTCACCAAAATCAGGTTTCTTCGTATTTCAATTTGGCATTTTAATTTTCTTTATTTTTATTTTAGTCATTATATATATATATATATATATAGGTAAATAACGCATTTAGTCCCTTAAATATTATTAGTTTATATTATAGTTCCGTATTAGTAATTTAGGGTAAAATTACATAATTGACATATAATTTTAATATTATTTCGAAATTAGATTAATTAATTTTGATATTTCATATTTTAATCAGTACTTATTTAATATCAATTATACTATTAGTATACTATATATTAAGATAACTTTATTATTTAATATTATTATTTTTATTTGTAAATTTAAATTTAAATACAAATTTATCAATTACTGCAAAGACGTTTAATTAATAAATACCTGTACTAATTTTGGGCGTTGTGGGGATGTTAATTCTTTCACATACGTAACCGACTCCCGAACTCATTTTTCTGGTAAGCAGACCCGATTTGTATTATTTTAACATTATTCTTAGGAATTTTTATTAAAATAATATGACATTTTGGGACCAATCTCATATAAAAAGATTGGTGGCGACTCTACAATTTGGTGTTTTATCTGATTCATGGAGGATAAACACTTACTTTTTCGAGACTAGTTACACTGTCTAGGTTGTACTATTTGCACTCTCCGTCGCCAGGGCAGAGAAACGTCTCGACAATATATACCTATTTTAACAATATATATATCAAAAGAAATAATTTTTTTATAATAATAGACATAGATTAAATAAATTATAATTTTCATGTATTAATATTGTAGAACAAAATTCATGGCCATTAAAAAAAAGACAACAACAACAACAACAACAACAAAACCCAATTCCCATATGTATGGGGTAAGGGGGAGGTAGGGTAGTAGGCTGCCCCCAACGCCAGGTTGGGAGTAGCTTCCGTGAAAGACCTCCGACAGTCAGAAAATTAAAAATATAGATAAAATGCAATGCATGTATAAATAAATACATAGCTAAACAGTATTCATATGCAGTCATTAAATCATATGCGTTTGTAATGGGAATTAATCCCTGTAAAATAATCCCTGCGAAAGAATCTCTGCATATAGACAGAAACATAAGACCCAGCTAAATTTAAAAGAGGAAACATGAAGAGAATGATAAACAAACGTCAACGATATCAAGCCCAGTTCCAATCCTTCATAATACGAATAACAGACGTATAAAAAGTAGAAGTCATGGAAATTACTACAAAGGCATTAAAAGAAGACAGAGATGATACACCAATAGATGTGACCCACACTACTCGACTACCCTAGTTTTTAGCCTCCATATTTCTTATGAGAGGTCATGTCTTCGGTAAGGGCTAACTCCATCAAATCAGATCTCAAGCAGTCTTCCCACTTCCTCCTTGGTCGTCCTTTCCTTCTGGCACCGTCGACTGTAATCGACTCTACCCTCCTGACCGCATCCGACGGTAGTCGCCTAAGGACATGCCCAACCACCGTAGTCTTCCTCCCTCAATTTTTTGGAAACAGACACCACCCCCAAGGACATCCTAATAGCAGAGTTTGTCGTCATATCCCACAGAGTCCTACCACATGTCCATCGAAGCATTCTCATTCTCGGCCTCTATCCTCCTTACGTGATCCTTCTTGGTTGCCCAACATTCTGATCCATACAACAGCGCTGGTCTTATTGCCATTCTATAAAATTTTCCCTTAAGTTTAGAGGCACCTTCTTGTCACACAAAAACTCCAGTAGCGGCCCTCTACTTTAGCCATCCCGTCTTTATACGGTGTGTAACGTCGTCATCTACACTCCCATCTTTATGTATCATAGACCCTAGGTACTTGAACAATCCTTTGATGGGAGAAACGTGTCTTCTATGCATACTTCTACATCTTCATCGTTTTGGTTCCCATTGAAGTTTAAACATAAATACTCTGTTTTCAATATTGATCCTAAACCTTTTTTTCCAAAGCAGTCTTCCAGGTAGCCAGTCTACTATTCAACTCAGATTTTGTTTCAGCAACTAGGACAATGTCGTCAGCGAAAAGCATACACCATGGTACACCGTCTGGTGTCGCACAATAGATGTCGTCCATAATCAAGGTGAAGATGTAAGGGCTAAGAGCCGACCCCTGGTGGAGTCCGATTTCCAGGGAATGCTCGTGTCGCCAACTGTAGTCCTGACGTAAGAAGTAGATCTACAGTATATCACGAATTGCCCGGATATAAGCAGTTGGGATCCGTCTCGTTTCCAAAGTCTTCCAGATCGTATCGCGGGGAACGCTATATAAGCCTTCTCAAGGTCAATGAACACCATGTGAAGATCTCTAGACTTTTCCCTATATTTCTCCATAAGACGTCGAAGTAGATGAATCGCCTCCATGGTAGACCTGCCTGGATAAAGCCAAATTGGTTTTCCGAAACCCTAGTGACTTGTCTCAACCTAGCCTCTATCACCTTTCCCATAGCTTCATGGTATGGCTGAGTAGTTTAATACCTCGTAGTTACCACAACGTGGGGAATCTCCTTTTTTTATAAATTGGTATCACGTAGACTCTCTCCACTCCTCTGGCATCTTGGCAGCTCTAAAATAATATTAAAGATGTTGGTCAACCACTTAACTCCCTCTCTCCTAGGGCCAACCACAGTGATAGGAATTTGATCAGGACCGACAGCTTTGTCCTTCCCATCTTTCTAAGAGCCATTTTTGACTTCCTCAAACCCAACCTACTTGTAGGGCAGTCATGGCCTAGTATGATAGTCGGCTGACCCATCAACGATACTATCTCTACATGGAGAGGCACCGTCATTAAATAAGCCAAAGAAGTAACTACCCCAAACCCTCTTAATATCGATCTTTCGCTAAAAGAACACCATTATTGTCCTTAATAAACCTAATATTACCTAGATCCTTTTTCCTATTCTCCCTAGATTTTGCAAGTCTGAAGATGCCATTTTGTCCTCCTTGGTGTCTAATCTCTTGTACATTTCCTCGTATGCCTTATCCTTTGCTTTAGCTACCGTTTTCTTGGCTTCCCGCTTTGCCTCCTGATATTTGTTTAGCTCTCGACCTTTTTTTCGTCATTGCATTGTAGAAACTCCTTGAAGCAAGTTGTTTTGTCTTCACTTAGTTTGGACTTCGTCGTCCACCACGATTCTTATGTTCCTTGGCCTTCCCGTCGACAACCCAAGGGGTTTTTGCCCACCTCTCTGATGGAATTTGCATATTTTTCCATACATATCGCATTTTTTGAGTTTGTAGTTTCAAAACCTGTATTAGACAAAACCTTACTCCTAAAGTCATCAGTTGTCGTCCATGTAAGTTCTTCCAGAGGATCCTAGGTTTACCAAGTTTAGCCTACTATGAGTGCTCCGCCCGTGGGGTACGCGGAAAACCAAAACCAACAATCTGTGTTGTGATGCACATGCTTCAGGGAACACCTTACAGTCAATGCAAGCCCATCGTTCCCGATTTCTAACCAAGATGTAGTCGATTTGGGTACAATGTCCCCCGCTATGAAACGTAATTAAGTTCGCATCTCTCTTATTAAAGGAGTTAGTGATCACCAAAATCATGAGCGGTAGCAAAATCAAGCACATACGCCCCCATCGTTCCTACTACCATAACCGAAACCCCCATGAACACCGCCATTAAAAAAAAGAGACTATGAAATTCAGTGGTCCAAAATTTTTTCCTAAAATGAGGAGTTTATATGAAATGGACTAATCTGGCTTTGCTTGGATCTACATATTTAGGATTTAAATAAAAAATTATTTAATGATATATAAATTTATAGTAAATTATATAGCATCTCTATTAAAAATTAACTAATTTTAAAAGAGTAGTTTATATTATTTTTAGTATAATTTACTGTAATAATATAGATCTATTCAATAAGGGTTTTTAGAATAAACTTGATTATTATGTTATTAGTTTTTAGTATATGTAGTTTGTGTAGATAACAAAGCGATGGGTCTAATTCTCCCAAAGGAATCCAATCTCGATGATTCAAAACTAACAAAACTGTCTTTTTCAAACTCCCAACTTATCTAAATTCTCAAAAAATAAGTAAAAATATTAACACCCTTTCCCTTTTTTTAAAAAAAAAAACTTTATTTTACTATTTAGTTGAAGCAAGCAAAACCATTTTGTCAGTTTCACTTTGAGTGCAAACGGGTTCCATTCTGTCATTGGCTTTTTTTTTATTTGCAGTTTTCGTGTTGTTTTCAAACTGGTAAAGCTTGGATTTTTACGCCGTTTTCTGAATCATTTGTTTCTTGTTGTTGTCTTGGGGAAATGGGTTTGATCATTAAGTTTTTTATTGTCTGAAGATTATAGATTGAAAGGAGCTATATTTGTTTGTTCTTTTAAGGTTTGTGTTGTTTGGTTTATCATTTCATTGCCTTGCCTTGTTTAATTTTCTGGAATTTAGAGTTTCAGTCATAGCTTTATAGATGCATAATTGGCTATCATCCTGATTGCTTTGCGATGGTAAACTGAAATCTTAGGGAATTAAGGGTTAAGCTTCGTGAAATGAATTCGGGTTAGGAGTTTCAAGCTTAGGTTGCACACTGTTTTCAGTATGTTCAAGAAGATTTCATTCTCTAATTGATTATTGCGCTGAATTGCTAAAGAGTGTTGGAGTTCTGAGGCCATTGATGTTTGCTTTTTCAAACCTGGATTCATTGAAATCGTGGATTCGAGGTTCTAGACGTCGAAAATCGAAATAAGACTTAAGTTTCATGTTGAAGAAACTTTTTAGTTTCCGAAATGGATTCATGGCTTGTTGCAGCAGCAGCAACCGCTGGGTGTTTTGCTGAATATTGGCGAAATCACCGTAGGTATAGGACTAGTTATCCTGAATTTAGAACCCGAAAGGCTGAAACCGGGAGCGGTCCCTTCTGTGGATCAGCTCCGAGAAGCAAACTCCGGGTTGATGTTTATTCAAACGGGAGAGAGGTTTCAGCTGCCGAAGTGGATTCTGCTAGAGGATTCGATAGCGATTTGGTGGGAAGCTTGGGACATTGCGTAGATTGTGATTCAATTTCTCAATCCAGTTTAGCATCCAGATTCTCGAATGATCCAAACCTAAGAGAAGATCAATGTAGAAAGGGAACTAGAATGGACATTTTTAGTGATCCTCCTAGGAAAAGCAGCTTACTTGAAACTAGATATTCATATGGACATTTACTTAAACCTTTAAGTTCCTTAGATAGTTCCATGATGGCTGAACTATATATGCAACATGTTGAAATGGAAGAGTACGTATGTACTTCTATTCCATCGCCATCAACTGCTATATCGAGACCATTGATCGTAACCTATGGAAACCGAATAATCAGCGGAGAAAGTGGCGGTTTATTGAGTGGGTCGAATGGAACTATGAATAGTAAGATGCACAATCAAGCCACTTCCGAAAAGAGTGGATATGTGTATGGAATCCCTCCGTTGCCAAAAATCAAGTCGTTGGATCCCCCCAAGAGGTTGAAATTTAAGAGAGGAAACTGGTGCAATGGAGAACAAAGTGTTCCATGCGAAATGGATGACGAAAATCAGTCCGATTCACAACAGGGTACTACTCTTAGATTTTCGCTCAATTTCCTTTAGTATGCAGTTCCATGTAACTTGGAACCCGGAGTCAGCTTTCTATTGGTATGTTTTTGACATGTTGCATTCTATTTTTCTCTGTATGAGCTTAAGCTTGATGCAGAAGAACATGATTTGGCATTGAGTTTAGTTTATTTGTTTATTGTTCTTAAATCCTGCATATAAGTAAGTCTCCATTTCTCTTCATTGCACCTGGAGCAATATATTTCACATTCGCTTGTTATATTTGATGTATTTGGCTTAATACTCTATTCATTATACAAAACAGGAGCTGACGATGGAGTAGTTCTGTTATGTCTTGGGATTTCTATTGGTATAATGTCTTCTTACATTGTGAATCAAAGGGAAGTGTCGAAATTGAGAGGGTTATTAAAGCATACTGAGAATGTAGTTCAAGATCTTCGAGATGAGTTTGATATGAAAAATTCATTGACAGTGCATGAGATAGCTGATGAGAAGAATGAATCACAGGAGACATATTACAATTTGATTCATGACAGAGCAACGAGTTCGTCTTCCATTGAACAGAATTTGGATAATTTGAAACGATGTTATGGTAGAGCATGATATTATGATAGGGTAGAGGGAAGTAATTCGGAGTCAATGAGTTGAATTGAAGCTGAGCTTGAAGCTGAACTCGAGAGGATGGGTCTAGACATGAATGTATCTAACCTGGAGAAAAGAGTGTCTGATCTTGTTGAGGTAATGTATTGTTTAATGACCTGTTGCTTCATTTTCATATTTCTAACGAATTCATTGTACTTTATACTCTCTTGCCAATTGATATCAACGTTGTGGTTGCTTTAGTTTTCGAAAATGGATGTGCTGTAGTGTTTCAAACATCTTGTTGGCGTTGTATGTAAATAATAATAATCATAAGATCATGGAAAGCTCTTTGGTTTGAATCTTTTTTCCATGCCTGCACGCTTGCATGGATGTTCTAACAGTACAGCTAAAAATTTATGCAGCTTGACCAGGATTTTGTAGCGGATTTCACCGACGGTTAATTGAGATCCGATATGGTCAATATGCAGGTTTTTGTCGAATCTGTGTCCAATGAAGATACATGTGGCAGTTCAACTACACATTCTGGAAATTATGCAGTCTCACCGCGAGAATTGAGTTTGCATCTACATGAAGTTATTCAATCGAGGCTTGAAGAACATGTTGAGGAACTTTAGACAGCCCTCCAGAACAGCCAGAGGAAGGTGGCACTAATGGAATCTGAGAATAAGAATTCATGGAAGGTCTCCAACAGTAAATGGAAATTTAGTGAAGAGTTGGATTGCCTTTCCGATCCTCTAGTTATGAAACTATCTGGGGAAGCTTTAGATGCATACAACGAAGCTTGTAAGGAATTGTCGAAGATTAATGAATCCGAAGAAGAAGAAGTTAATGCGGGACAGGATATTTATCAAACTAACCGTCAAGATGTGGTGCCTAAGTATGATAGAAAGGGCACAAATGGTTCCTTCCTGCATCAGTGTCCGCAGAACATAATGGAGGAGGCCATTTATGGTCGGGGAAGAACATCGGAAGATCGAACTTCAATGGTTCCTGGATTGCTTGATGTTGGTGTTGATGAAGATGAATGTAGTGATTGTGATGATGAAAGGGAGAAGCAGCTGATAGAGAAGATTGTGGAGAACAGTAAGAAAGGATCTCATGCACTGCTAAATGCACAGAGGATATTGTTTTCCTCGTATGAAGGTTAGCTTGTGTTACTTCCACTCTTAAATATCTTTATATGCATAAGATTAAGATATAATAAAATGTTTATATATCTATGTATAAGATAGATACTTTTCGTAAAATTCTATTCTTTTTGTAAAGAGAGACACTTTGTACTATAAAATGCTTAAAATTTTATGGAAAAAAAAAATAAGAAGAAAATTTTGAAAAGTAAAGAAGCAAATAAATTGGTAAATTTATTGAGTCAGATTTGAACTCTTAATACTGTTTAGTAAATCTAACGTCTTATTCTATTAGACTAATAATTAAGATTAGTGGAGAGTTAGTGATGGTGACACTCGTAATAATAATTATAATAAGAGATTATATAGTTAAAGGTTCATCTGAAATATTAACTTGAGATTAATAATTAATATTTTCTCAATCGAAAGAGATTCTAACTATTAGTTTTCAAGTTGTAATTGAATCAATAATTTAATAGACAATAAGAAATCAATAAAAATGAGATAACAATCAAAGTTTCTCAATCCTATAAAGAGGAAAAAAACAGTATTAGTTTTGAAGAAATAGGTGGCGGGTAAAGTCGTTAAGACAGTTGGTTAAGCCTATACCGATTCCAGGCCCTCCAGTTCCCTGCCCATTTTGTTGTTTTTCTATTTTATTTAATTAACTTATTCTCCTTAAGGGATGTAAATGAGCACAATATTCGATGAAATATTCGTGAATCTTCGTATAACATTCATTTATTATGCTCATTTATAAGTTCGTTTATTGACTTGTTCGTTTATGTTCATGAACAAGGTTCTCATTTTCTTTTTATTTTTTTATATTTTAAATATTGATTGAGGTAGGTACTAAATTAAACATATGATAAAATTTGGAGTTTAAACTATGAATAATAAGGAGTTTATGCACTAGTATTGTCATTTTACCATTTTTCTTTAACTTTCAAATGACTCTAAAAACTGAAAACCGAACATATAAACAAACATTAAATTAACAAGTTCGCGAACGTTAAATGAACATGTTTATAAACCTATAAATGAATATGTTCACGAACGCTAATCAAATATGTTTGCGAACAACGAATAAAAGAACATGAGCACCTTCAAAAATAAATAAACCAACGTGAATACTGTATTAAAAATTTAAATAAACACACACCTTAAAAAATAAACAAACGAACACGAACACAACCTTATTCGTTCAAACTCAATTCATTTACACCTTTTTGCACAACAAAATTAAATTTTGTTAATATAAACAATATTGATCAAAAGTTAAAATTTCCTAAAGTTGTTTTAAAGAATCTTAAAGGATATCGCAAGGAGATTACAATCCAACCCAACAGGAAATGAAATAAAGCACAAAGAAACACCATGATCACACGGCAATAAACACTAACCTGAAAACAATACAACTCGCTACAAACCACAAAAAATCAGTCAAGTTCTACCATAACCAATGAATAACTACAAACATCGACAACTAGTTCTGATATTTATCTCAAACCACATAGGCGTCCGCTGTAGCATACTATGTGGATATAGTAGTCTATCATTAAAACTGTTCACTTAAAATAAAAAGTAGGAAGAGAGAACAGCTACATACAGTTGTAGCATGCCTTACACATCATTTGTTCAAATTACCTTCCTTATCTTTGAATTTGTTATGAGCTATGCAATCCATATGCTCACTTAGCAGACTAAACTGGACAACATTGGAATAAAACCATCAACATCAATTAAGTCTTCCCATCTAGCGAGGCATCCATTTGATGTATGTAGCTTAAAACAAATCACACCTTTAACAATGAACAAACAACACACTCAACATAAATTAGAGAAACCAATCCAATTCGACAGCAAACCCATAATATCAATACTTCGATCAATATGATCTTGGTAAACTTAAAAGCTCTTTCAAATTTGTCAGAATGTATCACGACTCTGATGAAGTTCAAAAGCTGCTTTATGTCCTTCAATAACATTTAATCATGCACAATAATCACCTTAGTGCTCCAGTTCTCTCTCCAACTACCGCCACCATCAACAAAACAGTTTTACAAACCAAACGCCATTCACACTTTAATTCTGAAAAAGTGGACTGATAAAACCAAACAACACATCCATCAGCTCATTGAAAATCAATAGCATACCAAATAAAAACATTCAAAGAGTCAAGGTTTAAAGCCATTGAATTAAAAAAATTGAGCGCCCAAATTAAAGATAAATCCAACCACGTTCGTCTTTCCTGGATTCTTTGACAATTCAAGGTTTGATTACACAGCAACAAGAAGATAAATCCGATTCTGGAGCCCCCATTACATTGCTTATTTTTGGTTTTTGTACTAAAAAAAATTACATAAAAAATATAGAAAATCCCTCTGATATTTTTTCTGTTTTTCTATTTTCATGGTGATCTTGCTGACGAGGCAAGGTCGTGGAGTGCTGCTCATTAAGAAGCATCTGGAAGATGCACGTGTGGAGGTCGTTAGGGTGTGAGCTGATAGCTGGGATCACTATATGCATGGGGCAGCTGGGAAGCATCTGGAATGGAGGGTCAAAGGCGGCGACTAAAAGGTTGGAGTTTAAGGTTCAGTAACCCTAAGTTACAATATTAGGCAGATGTGCTTTAGGGCCCGTTTAGATCAAGTATTTTATCATTCTCTGTAGGAATTTTTTTTTCTTATTAAAGATACTCATGTTTGGTTGGGTAAGATTATCAAGAGAGGGTAATGTTTTAATACCAACAGTAAATTTAGTGTGTTTATTACTGGAAATGTTATTCCCATATGTGTATCATGTATTTTTTTTATTCCTCCCGTGAGCTTGCCTCTGTGATATTTCTTCTCCCGTGAGCTTGTCTCTGCGAAAATTCATCGTTTTCCCAGTGATCTTCTGGTAAGATTTCTTATCCCGTAAACTTGCCTCTGCGATATCTTCTTCTTAAGGTTTTGGTTGCTTTTTGATTGAAAATTAGTATAGTCGATTTAAGTTAACCTCAATAGATAGTTTCCTTTAAACGCCTAAACTACACTTTCCCGATCCCTCTTCGTTCCAAGAAACAGAAAGAGGCGGGGAAACCGTTGATGAAATAAAAGAAAAGAGTTTATGGTTTTCCTGATTTATTTGGCAATGGTAGGGATCATGAATCCAGCTTCGAGAGTTTATCCAACTCAGTGAAGTTTGCTGATGACTTGAGTCCAAAACTAGAGTTGTGTCGTCAATTGAAGCATGATTTCTTGAAGGAAGACGCTGCTGCTTTGTCCGAGTTCCTTCCTCGTATCTTCGACCTTTACTCGGGTCCGGTCCTGTCCGCAAACTTGCTACCCAGTACGCATCCCTACTTCAATCCGCTATGCCTTAGTTGTTTTTCTTTATTTCTTACAAATTATTTTTTAAATTAAATGTAGGATTATTGGTGAAATTGGAGTGAAGTACCTCAATTTATACCTGAAATTGCACCCTTTCTGATAACTGTTTTGGAAGATGCTACACCTACTGTTTCCCGACAGTCTATTTCTTGCAGTTCGTTATACTCTCGAAAAGATTACAATTCAGGTTTGTTTCCATAATCTTATTTTGTAGAATATTAATTTGTGAATACTAGATTTTCATGGATTCAATTATTGATAAGGAAAAGCGTTTAGTTTTGTCTTCATTAACTGTTGCATTGTATTTCATGTCGGTTTCTAGAAGGTGATGGATGATTTGACATCTTTTAAGCTTTACATTAGGCAGTAGTCTATTTGCAGCTTGCTAACTTTAAGTTGCACCTTCTACAAATTCACATGGTGTTTGTGTTTGTTTCAGGGCCATCAGTCCAGTGAATTGGTTAGTGATCTTGAATCAACATGGTCGTGGTTGTTAAACTTAAAGGAGAAGATATATTCTATAGCTTTCCAGGTAGCTTTTGATTCTTTCTGTTTCACGACGATTCAAAATTTATTCATTACCTGATTCATTGT